GCTCAAAAGCATACTCTGTAGGTAGATGGCGTACTTCTGGCACGTAGCGCCTGTTGAGCATAAGGTATTGGTTAGAATAATGCAGCTCATTATATGAAGTTAGGAAACCTTTTACATACTTACTTGATGTATGAAGCAGATGGATCCATCTTCTTGGCCACCTCTACGGGGCAATACCAAGGAACCGATCCCTTGATGTAGGTACTGCACGACGACCACATCCAACAGCTGGCATTCATTCCACACTCCGAATCCAACTGGAGCTCGTCGAAAGCTTTGTATCCCTTTTCCCAGTTGATCCACAAGCATCCGCGTGTCAGAAAACATCCAACGGCCTCTCGAGCCACGTTGTGAATCCACCCTTCCTGATTGACCTGTCTCATGATGGCGTCGATCCACGGGAATCCAGTCTTGCCCTCTTTCCACTGTTGTAGTGCAGTTGCATTGTCTTCCCAGGGCAGCTGTAGACNATCCATCCTTCCTGATTGAGCTGTCGCATGATGGCGTCGATCCACGGATAGCCAGTCTTACCCTGGACAGTTTTTAAAATTGGTTTAAGAAAGAGTATTAAAGATTTCTCATTGTTATAACTAGAGAATACTCCCACCCYTTCCTTGAACTTAAGGTATGTGTTTCGAGTGGATGCGAGGTTACGCAGTCAGAAAAAACACCCGTCGTCCGCTAAGCTGAAGGAGAGGTGATATTTGGCACAGCCATATGTCTTATCCACTGAGACATATACCTTCAAAGTTATAGGTAGGGATGGGCTGTTTTTATCATACACACTCGCGCATAATCTTTCGGTCGAAAAACAAGAGAAAGACCCGGTTTCATCTCGTGTTCCTTAGCTAGCTTCCCTCGAGCTCTACAGCTCCCACGGTAGTGTGTTTATATCTCAATATAGGTACATGCGGGAACGTTTTATATTCCTCGAATATAGTGKGCTGAATAGATAGTAGTATATAGTATACTCATGGTTTCAAAAACAAAACACTCAAAGGTGTTCATATACGGTGTTTGTCTAACCTTTTTCCATCTATTAAGGTACTCTTGGTTCTCGATCCATTTGATTTTCAAACACAATTTGCTTTTTGCCATCTTGTGAAAGTCAGGTACAAGAGCATTGAGGAGAATGGAGTATTCTCTCCAGAGCAGGAACGAAAATATTTGAGGGATTGGGTGTTGTTTACTCTCCTGAAAATAAACAGACATCATGTATTTGAGGGATTGGGTGTTGTTTACTCTCCTGAAAATAAACAGACATCATGTATTCTCGTTTTGTTGCTACATGGTTCATCTAGTCTGGCTCCTAGGCTAATAACTGTTCCAAGTTTGCCTCTGGAGTTTCTTAAGGCCGGTTTAGACGGTACGATTTTCGGCTACAACTATCGTATACAACACGCTCGCCCCATCCTACAACTCGAGTCATAGCGTGTAAATCAAGCCTACAACTCGCCTACGACAGACGCGAGYGTGTTGTGTACGATAGTYGTAGACGAAAATCGTACCGTCTAAACCGACCTTTAGATAGCGCTCGCTAAGTTTCATAATTTCGAAAATAGGGTCTGAACCGATCGATTTGGCTCAGATGACGATTGGTTGAAACGAAATGCGTCACTTGTTGTCCCTAWCGACTGATCGGGGTCTGGCCACGGAGTGGATAGCGCTACCTGCCGAACAACTCCTTATTCAGTGGATATCTAATGAATTATAAGGATTTATCCAACCCATAGGGCTATCCACTCTGTGTTCGTTCAACCGCGAGCCCTGTTATGCCTAGCTGGATAGACGTAATTTTAAATATTTGAAACGTAACACGTAGCTCTAAGGAGTTCTTCAGCAAAAAGGGTACTTGTCGAAGAGTATCTAGTTTCAAATATTTCATATTTCAGGCAAAACATTGCTAGTCAACAAGTTAAATTCCGATTCGATCTGTGAGTGGCCACACGTCCTGACTTCGCGGCCGGATAAGCCCGCCCAGAGGTTGTTTATGGGTTCGATAAACTTCAAGGTTTTTAAAACTGAAAGAAAAAAACGTACCTTTTCATAAGCTTCTCTAATGGCGTAATACACTGTTCTTGGAGAAAGGCAACCAAAGCTGAGATATGGGTCAATACAGCCTCTGCTTGACGTGAGCGTTTCATGCGAGAAAGGAGCTTCACCGAATCCATTTTGCACCCTCTGAGGATTAACAGAAGATCATTAAATTTCAATGAGAACTGAAGACGCCGCTAATCACCAAAGTTTCATAGTTCTCTACTCATTCTAGGRGTGCATGCTGGTTGACTTTAACTAAAGACTCGGTCTTTGTTTCTTTTGGTATGTCAACTAAGCCGGTCAATTAAATATTAATAGGACTGCCATGCCTATTGTCATAATAGATCTACGTTACTAGTCTGCGTAGCGGTGCGAAGGGGAGGTTTTTGGAAGGGGAGGGGAGAGGGGGAAGAAAGGATGAGGCTCTCCCTTTCCCAAAACCACTTTGAGCCGCAAAACCTCTTTGAACCGCTACGCAGASCAGCACGTTACCAATAGGAATCTATGACTTTACGATACTATGGTAAAAGAACCTGCACTTTTTGCGGAGTCCGATTTGATTGCAAAAGATGTGCAAATTTCTGCTTGAAAAGGGCAAATTTCAAGATGTGAGTTGTGAGTTGTGGGGGTAGGGGTGGGGGTATTTTTGACGTCATCCATATCTAACACACCTCTTGTACAAACTCCTTTAGCTTTTGTAGAGCCGAGTGTTCCCCACCCACCATCTTCATATGGGTGATTGTGGGCTTAAGTGACCGTGAGTCTTTGACAAGTGCAGAGAATGATTTGTCTAGTTGATTCCCTTGCTTAGGAAACCACGTGACATCAGGGACAGGCYTATCCGGTGGACCTAGCTCGGTCACCATATCCATGAACTGTTCAAACTGTATCGGGATTTCGTTTTTGCATTCACTCGTGAGAATATCAWWGTCATAAAGTGTGTGCAAACCGTTTGCAAAAACTTGAACGTTAGCCTTTTCGGCGAGGTGTGTGACGACACGCTCGTTTTGTCTTCCGTATCGATCCAAGGCGGCTTGGAATGTTAGTGTTGTTAAACCAAGCTTTTGAAAGATGAGAGAGAATACTTGTGGTAGTTGGCCTTGGAACACAAGTAGCTTTGATCCATACTTCTGAAGATTTTCATCCAGATCTTTTAGCGACTGTAGAAGGAAATTCTTCTTGTTTTCTGATACGATGGGCCTGTCGAACAGTGGTGAAAGGACGTATATTCCGTAAAATTCATCGGATCCTTGCAATGCTTCGGAGAGAGCAGGGTTGTCATGGAGACGTAGGTCTTTCCTAAACCAATGACAGGAGACCTTCGGCTTACAAGTGYTCATCTTGTTCTCTTAATAGCTGCAAAGTAAATGAGAGGATTCTGATAAAGACAAATGTGTGATGCTTTTTCCCTCATCGCAGAAATTTACTAAAACATTTGCTAAATTTACTAAAACATTTAAGAAAACATATTTCTCTAACAAAGGCTTTTAGGAAAAGTTCTTCAAGCGTTAAGAATTTTGCTTCTCAAGAAGAACAATGCAGAAATTGAAGAACAAAATGATCAATTTGCAGAATTTGGTACTRCAAAATATTTTGTAATATTTTCTTTAGGAATGAATGCAATAAATAGAAGAATTTGAATCTTGAATTAAAACTTGACTTTTACTTTATTTTGGATACAAGCTGTATATCATTATTGTACAGAATGAGTTTATGCAGAATAAACTACACTAAAGACTAACAGGCTCTTAGTCTGTCCATTTAGATGTTCATATTTATTATTCTGTGCTCAGCAAGTTTGTTTGCAGATATAGCGATCTGTCAGCCAATCCGAGGTTGAGGACTGATAAAACTGGGTCGAGTTGGCATTGCAGTGCATTGTGGGGCTCTTTTGGACATATTTCCAAGATGGCGTCTATTTTTAAATCCACTCATACCCAGTTTTTTTCTGAACCTCAGAATAGCTAATAATAAGGCCAAGTGAATGAAGCCAGTCAGATTGSCGAGTAACTGGGCCAGACTCGTTTCATTATTATTCTGATCCTATACACCTTCCTTCAACAGCAGATTGCCAACAAATGCGATTATAGGCCCAAGCAGTGGAAGCCATATCGACTTTAGTTCTGTGATGTGGAATCCCAGAATCTTAAAACCAAGACACCTGTACTTCTGACATGTCTCTAGACGATGGCTAAATAGCATGATCTTTTCTTCCGTGTCAAACAAATATCCTTTGTTTCTTTGTTCTTCGCAATCTAGATTATCGACTGTGGATATGACCTGTTGCAAATGGGAAGTTATTTGGCCTAACCTGAAGAACGGTAGCGTAAAAAGGAATACAGTCTCAAGGAGAAATGCTATGAAGGATCCTAGACCTTCCGAAAGAACTACACCATATACAAGTGAGGTTTTGGGAGGCAGCTTTTGAAAGACTTCAGCGCTTGAATAAACGCTGAGAATTCCCCAAAAAATTAAAAGGAAGAGAAGGCCGACCAGAAAAGGTTGAAATGCCTGGGATATTTCCATGATTTTTGAGGACAAACGAGTGTAATTCTTAACAAGTTTATCGAAAATCATTTTACTTTGTGAAATTTGAACTTTACAGGAATCTATTTCCGAAATCAAAACTTCTGCGGTAATGATGAGAAAAAAGAAGATTGGCATAGCAACGGTACGAGTGTAGATCAAGACAAAGAATTCAACGCATTCGACTGTCTTATCCCAGTTTCTTGGCAAGTGCAGTGATTGCTCGATAAAGATCGGAATTAACTTTTGAACGAGTGGAAGAAACACGAGAACCATTCCGCCCGTTACCACAAGATATTCAATCTGTCGAGAAATCACACGCTTGGCGTTTGTGGGCATTCGAATGAACTTTGTCATGATATGAATAACGTGGTTTTGATGCTTGATAAAGAAGTGCAAGCCAAGATGGTGCATGACAAGATACCGAAACGTCCACAAAAAACGGTGAAAGACGGCGACGATAGCAGTGAATAGCTGGACGCTGGAAGAAAGCTGATCGAAGCCATGAATCAAATTGAAAAGCTCAAATGCTATGATACACCATAGACTAAGTGATACGACCAAACGCATTACTTTATAAAACCAGCGAGGAATTGTCATGTAATTGCCAATTCCTAACGGTTCGACCCACTGAAACGAAAGCCACATAAAAGAGTAGAGTGGAAAGYCTTTCAAGTTTTGAACATCTTCGGGGTTTATTCCTCCGCTTCCGATCGACGTTGTCGATTCTAAACGCTCYAAATCCAAGCCGGATCGGTTATGAAGCAAGCTGTCATCGGAGCTTTCCGCTCGAGTTATCGTCATGCCGAAAGACCCCGCTAAATCGCCAGAGACGCCATTGCCCTCTGAAATATCAGAATTTTCAGGAAGAGTAGACAAATGAGGTTTGGAACAAGGCTTGGGAATGACAATCATAATCTCAGATCTATCTTGTCTTGGCTGTTGACGATTAGTTTCTACGAGGTAATTCTCGACAAGCCAGTAAACATCGACAACATTTGCATCCACAGGAACCACGAGTTCTGTTTTTGACCCTGGGCCATCACAAACAAATATTGTTTGATTTGAGTTTCTGGTTGTCATTTTATCTCCTGTATCTACTCTACTGAGCTAAGACATAGCTTTTCAAAGCGCTTTGGTCAAAATAGGAAGATATCAAATTGATTCACTACCTTATACGACTGACTTCTTGGAAACTTGTTCAGATACCGGAAGTCCAAGTTCGTTTTGCGCGGGTCATTGGCTTTTATATCGAGGCAATATCAATAATCATATTATTTTATCACTGCTCGCTAGACCAATGATAGCGCGCAAAAATCTAGACTAATACTCATCTGTCTTGGATACCATTTGCGCCAGGTTATATTTTAACAGATGCAGAACAGGCAGGCGATTCCAAAAGCTTCGTTGTATCTCGCATCGTTTCAATGCGACCCGGGTTCGAGTCCCGCTTGGCTCGGTGTCGTATGTGAGTAGAGTTGTTTGTTGGTTCTCTCCTGTGCTTCGAGATTTTTTCCGGAATCTCCGGTTTTCCTCCCGCCGCAGAAATCAACTTGGAATTTCATCAGTGGATGAAGAGCCACTATAATGGCAAACTAGAATGACTGAGTAAACCTGACTTTACCTACTTTAGGGGACGAAAAAATAGTTTTTGTGTGTCTGTATTCCTACCGCAGCGTACCCTAAAGTGCCGYGTAAAGTTCCGAAAAATTAAAGCTTTCCTCTATAATTTAGAAWAAATCATTTCCTGAAGGTTTTATTTTTTTATTGGTTTTATTTCTCTGCAATTATGCAATTTTATTGAATAGTTCTAGAACTTAATCTGCAAAAAGGTTTTAAAAGCCCCATTGGCGAGAACTCAATAGGGGGGATCTTTAAAAGCAAAATTGAAACCCGTAAAGCTTTCTCGTTAAATAATTGAAATTCTTTTCTGACAGCGAGGCACAGCCTAAAACACTAAATAAGTAGCGGGTTTTCATATAATTCGAGAAAAAGAAGAATCGTTCAAAAAAAGTCGTAGTATTTATCTTCGTTAAGAAATGCCATTAAGGCTCAGGTTCATGATGATAATGGCTTTTTTAAAACAGATTTTAGTTTATATACTTTCAGATAAATTAACGGCTATCTGCTATTGGCTCTTGTTGAAAACTACGGTATTTCCTTTCAAGATATTCATAATTTTCCTGCATCATTTATACTGTGGAGTTTCCCACCTGACGGTCTCGACTGAACGCCAGAGAGCGAGACCGTGAAAGCGGATGCGATTTGGAGCCAGAGAGCACTGAGTCTAGCAGGTAGTGGTCTTAGTGTTCTGGATACACGTGACAGGGCAGAAAAACGGTTTTTGGCCTTTCGTYATAAGGACAGCTTTACGTATTTAAGCTCAATATTTTGTAAACAYGTTCTTTTGGACCCGCTCCTTAAGACAACCACAGGTCAACGTTCCTTTTAATATCAAGGAGTTAAGCTTTGGAACGATTTTAAGCGATAGCCTTAAACTTTGTAAAAATGTGCAGTCTTTTAAGCATGCAATGCGAAAAAAGCTTTTAAAGGAATTTCTTAATAATTAAATTTTTACTACTAATAATTATGATTACGATAATTTTTTTTTTTTTTTTTTTTCATTTTATGATTCTTCACCTGTTTTTGAAGGGGTTTACGTGTGTTTCTTGTCACGGGCCTTTTTGAAGGCAGGTGAATATATTGTATATTTCATCTTAGGTTTATACTTATATTTGCATTTATATTTAACTTTTATATCATATTGTAAATTGTATTTGTCAATGCTTCTGAAAAGCCCTGTAAAGGGATGAGGTAATAAAGTATGTATGTATGTATGTATGTAAATAGCAAAATATCAAATGCGACCGAAATTTATTGAATGCGTATTTGAGATATAAAGACGTGTACTTTGTGAGAGGTGTTATTTTGATCAGTAGAAAAACTGACATTTTTTACTAGTAAGTAGATTTACTCTAATTCGAAAAAATTTGACACAAATGAAACGCTTAAAAATTTGGAGTATAAACTCAGTTAAATAAAAAAAATCGTGAAAGTAGCGGGCTTGTCGTTTTTCTGCCCTGTCGATACACGTACCCTAAATGCGATTGGATCGTATGAAAAAAGAGCTCAAATAAAAGCTCGAAATATTTTTAGACGGAACTTGTGAGAAAGAGGGTCCATTCTTCCATCTAATTGTGTTCCTTCGTTTTGTGTCGTGCAAGGCTGCGCGCACTCGTAAGTCAATATCATTATCACTACTGAGAAAGTTCCAATTTTTAGGTTTGATTAAGATTCCAATTCCGTCTTAAGTTTTTCATTATCACTAGAAAGTTCCAATTTTTAGGTTGATTGAGATTCCAATGCCTGGGAGAGAAAGGGTCCACTTTTCCGCTTCATTTCGCAATTCCTTCGATTTGTGTCGTGCAAKGCTGCRCGCACTCGTAAGTCAATCATTTATGWCTAGAAAATTCCAATTTTTAGGTTTGATTAAGATTCCAATTCCGTGATCTTACGTTCTTGTTTTTTCTTTTTCAAATGAATTTCTGCCTTATCGCGCTTTCGTTTCTTCATCTACCCGTCACYGGTGAACACGAATCCGCATAATCGACGCGAAAACCGCGAATCAATGCATATTCCATCCTTGTGCATGATTCGTTCAGTCCTCTGACTAAAAGCGGTCAAATTTAATTTGAAAATTCTCCAGTTGATAAATTAATATCATTGTTATTAAAATAATATTTATCCTAATCCGTTATCCAAATTTTACTTTTTGCGTCGGAATTGTTATTATTTTAGTTCATCTAGTCATACGGCATTTTCATTTATTTAATCCGGCATTTCAGTTCCGTTCTCACGGTGGAAGAAGTCGAACAATGAAGTTTGTAGTTTCTTGTTCCAATTATTTGATGCTTAGGTAACTAGATTTGTAAACCAGGAAAGCGACTCTAACTAGGATAAACACTCAATAAATATTAAAAGTAAGAACGTAACGCTATATAAAAACTTCAATATACAACAAGTATAACTAAAATACAAATGTTGAYTCGCACCAACCTTAAAGCTGTCTTCCTAAGGTTTGATCAACTAGTAGCATATCGAAGATCTCGTAGGGAAGACGTACTCTTGTAGGGAAGACGATCGCTTTTTCTTGCACACCCTCGTTTATCCATTTAAAGATGAACAAACACAAGAACTGAAARTTTAAGCAGCACTTATCAGTAAGAGGTTGAGCAATTATCCAATCAAAATCACTCTTGAGATATTTTAGAGCACTTGATGATCTCAGTGGGAAATAACAACATTAAGTAGATTTTTGCCGCTTGTTGCATTATGGCAGTCGGAACCTAAATCGTCTTCCATTTTTTACTCACATTTAGAATTCTAAAACTAGTTCTTTTCCTACAAAAATYCCGACATTTTTCTATGATTTTTTTGTTCAATTTCGTTACTAAACAATTTGGTAGGAATGGTGCCTTCTGCTGCTTACTTAAGGGTGAGGAAACCTTTGTGGCGCCTCAGACATTAAACCAACTTAAATTCACAGTACGAAGTTAAAAACCTTTTAGCCGCCGTCCGAAATTACCCCGAAGAYCTGGAACTCACGTTGCACTTGGACGAAGCACACGTGTCTGGGGAACTCGTTGCGTAATGTTTAACGGATCCCTGTTTGGCAAGGATCACGAGGCATGTTGGCCATGTGATCTGAATTTTAGACCAAGCATATTAAAGGTTTCTTTGTATAAACAAATATGACCTCTATCATAGATRTGATACGTATATAGAGAACGAGTGAGTTTTGTTTATGTTTTTAAAGCCAGTCATTCAAAATGGAAGTAAATAGCAAAACAAATGAAAGAAAAAAGCCCAAAAGGAAGGGGAAAACAAGAGAACGCGTTGCATAATCCTTTTCTAATCCGGTTTTCTAACAGTTCCAATTTCAAGGGGGAAAAAAATATGTGTTGTATGTATGTTCATACAAGGGACGGACCATTAGATTTTTGAGGGGGGAAGGGGTTGGGCAAAAGCCAGAAAAAATTCGAGCACAGCTTTAAGAATGGGGGGAAAACGTGCATGAGAAAAGTGCCTGTGCCTATATTTACCAAGTTTCATGGAAATCGATTAATCGATTTTTAAGCGAACAGGAGGACAATACTAATTTTGCCCGTAACGGCAAACACGATTCAAAAAATAAAATAAATAAAATACAAAAAAATTCGAATACCCCGTCAAACGAAAAAAAATTGAGCCACTACGTACGCAAAATTTAGAAAAATCAGCCGGAGAGTTTTTAACTCGCAATCGATTGTGTTGGAGTAGCCTTAACGTAGGTATCATAACCGTATCTTATTGTTTGGATGTATTCGTGGTAGATCAGTAGCCTAGGAGCTATTAYTGCTTTTAGATTCTCAACACGTTTTTTCTCACGTTGCCTTGTCGAAGCGTTATGTGCAATATTATGCGCCTTTTTCCTTTGAGTCAAATTACCGTTCCCTAATTAAGCGTGCGCAGCTTTTCTGAATACGTTCTCCTTTATAGACTTTAAGACCTGCTATATCTACTTCAGGAATTATCAGCTTCGTGATACCCTGGTGAAATACTTTAGTCACCAGAACGAATGCACTTAATAGTTCAAGTTCGAAGATTTTTGATTTGAAGCTTTTTGTCCTTTCTAAGCCGATGGACATGACCGGAACTACATGGAATCGCCTGACAATTGAACACGACAAATATATAGAATTAAGAAAGTAGTTAGATACGCAAGATAATCCTGAGCATTGAGAATTTTTTTTTGGAGTGGAAGGGGGGGGGTTGAATATTCCAGAAATTTGTCGGTTTTTTCTTGCGCATTCACAATGGTCGGTATTCAGAGGTCCGCAATTCAACTTTTCGGTGCTAGCCATCACGTGGTATGAATTGGACTTAGCTCCCTAAAAACAACAAAATATCATTTTTCTGGTTTGATTGAAGCTTTTCTTACTGCTATTTAGAGAAACAGATAAACAAATCAAGTAAATAATTTGTTYAAAAGTCAGCACATTCGTACGGGAATCCGAAGACAATGTCCAAACTTTTTGGTGACACAATCCAATCCAAGTTATACCWCGTGACGGTTAGCGCCATAGGTTGCTATCAATAGACGTCACTTCCGGTAATAGCTCTTTTTTTAATGGCTTGTAGAATCCTGGAGGTTGTTTTGATCTCTTGTTTTCTGGTTTGATGTCGTGAAAATAGTCAAATACAATAGTTTGGGGACTTATTTTGATATGTTTTGACTTAGCATCCGCTAGTTGCCCCMCAGTCAACCGCTTGTTTGCCCCCCAGTCAACTCCAAAAAGTCACGTGATTGATAGTAAGCAATTAACGTGAATCCTAAGAYGTATGACGTCATCATCGATCATGGTCGGTACTGCTTTGATCATGCTWATCAGCCAATCAAAACTATAGTAACACGTTTTGAAGAGAATTCTGTTCATGCGCCTTGATATTCGTTTTGAATTTTGCTCGTTTGCTAAAATGATGTCCTGAATAATTTTATTTTATTGATTTGATTTTATTGCCTTGTGCTACTATTGCCTTGTGCTACTATAGTTGCCTTGTGCTACTATTGCCTTGTGCTACTATAGTGCCTTGTGCTACGTCAACTGTCTATTTGGCATTCAAATATAAAACACTTTCGTAAATACGAATAAAAAAGAAACAAAAAGAAACCGAATATTGACTATGATTTATAAGTTGATTAATTTATTAGCCTGGAGTTATGACAAAAGCAAGATTCATGTCATTCTTTGAACATTATTCAAAGAAAAGCATTTAGTTCAGCTGAAGATGAAGTGATCGAAGTGTATTGACGCCATTGCGACAATCATCGAGAAAAATAACAACGGACCGGACATCAATTTTCATATCATCAATAACCGTTGACTACATCGCATTTTGAAATAATAAAAAAAGCACCTACGAAAAGGATAGAATAGAAGTGAATTAAAGTTCCCGTGCGAAARTGCCGATAAAAGTGACAAACGAAAATTAATATATTCACGAAACCGAAAATTGATTGATTTAAAATAGCGCTATTTTCGAGAGACTAAAATATTAAATATCAGTGAAAACAACGAACTGAATTATTCGTCCCACACACCTTACGAAAAATATGTCTTGGTTTTCGRTAGTCTCTATCTTGGTCATAGCCCCAAGTCGCGTGATCGTGTTTACTTGGCCCTWCGAAGGCCTAGCTAATGATTTGAAAGTACACGGGACTGAAGAGGCATACGAACAAAACCTGGAATTCTGGGTGAATTCTCAAGCTAGATTAATTTACTCGACATTACGTGTGAGTRGTCTGGTTCTCTTCCTTGATTCGAGTGTTTTATTTTTATATCTCAGAGTTCTAAAGTGCCCTCCCCCAACAAAATCCCCTGAATTACTGATTCCAACAAGATAAATTCCCCTTAGATCAGCTCGGAGATTTTTTTCCGGCGTTTGAAATATTGGAGACTTTTCAATGTTGTCATGACGACGAACAGGATTTTGCTTCAAATCCTCCCTTCGCCTTCTTCAATTTCCGTTCTCTTTTTTTTTTCTTTTCAGTCATGTGGAAGAAGACCAGAGAGATGTAGGGGTCCCTAGTATTAAAGACATAATTTTTTCAGTTGCGGCGCGAAACAGCAACACATCATCATACATAGATAAGCCAAAAACAGATRTTCAATTGAATGCAATCAAAAACGAGGGCTTTAAGATCATTTCAACCACTTTCACGAACTAAAAGTGCACCCTTGCGATTGATTTAATGGTAAATCGAGTATATTTTTTTCCCTCGATAAATTAAAACTGAAATGAAAAATTAGTTTAAATGGTAAATGACAAATACGGATCCTCGATTGAAGAGCTYATAGATTATAGTTTATCTTTTCAAGTGGACTAAAACAACCCGGATTTACGTCACTAAACATTAGAAGGCGAAGTACTCGCTTCAAGGCAAGATAATGGTTATGAGACGCAGAAAATTCTTGATTTACACAAATATAGCATTGAAGGTGAAGAAAATAAAACTCAAGCTAGTTTAGACCTGAATAATATTCGTCGCGCGACGGTTTTTTTTAAATCACCGTGTTTTTTTTTGATATATATATATATATATATATTTTTTGCTTTTTGTTTGTATTTTTTCTTTCTTTTTTGTTTTTCTCGTGTTATAGTATATTGTGTTAGATATATATATATATATATCATTCTCCCTAAAAATGCATGGAAAACGCCGATTCTTCCGCACTCAAGTTTGTAAGTTGGTTGATAAACAGGTAGCTTCTCTCAGCCTAAACGAGTTAGCCAATCAGCGAACACAGATTTTATTCGTAGCTCAATATTTYCTAGTATAGTTCAAGGTTTTCGGCTCGATAAACAGCAGCTTTTACTCGAACATGAAACTCGAACATGGAAAGATTATATTCGCCAATATATTTTTTGAAATAACGAATTTCGTCGTTGTTGAAGGAAAATATTTGGTTTAGCTGTGACAAACAAAGCAGTGTGTGCCTAGATTGAAAATTACCTGAAACATTGTCGGCATCTTCAAACAATAACGAACACTGACCGTTTATATCAAGAAGCAGCTTTACCTTGCACGAATCACTGATAGAGTGCTTTTAGTCTCACTGTTGAATAGTTAGATAAATTTATCTAACTTAGATAACTATTTAGTTGACATCACCTAAAATAGTAAAAGCGCGCCAAATAACGATCATGCTAATYCGGGGGGTTGTTTTACCAGAGAATGAGTGAAGAGACATTCATTTGTATCATCGTTTCTCCCCCTGATCTCAGTAGCTGTTTACTCGTAGTTCCGAATTTAGGTGACGTCAGCTAAAATAGTAAATAACTTATCTAATTTAGTTGACGTCACCTATTCAACAGTAAGACTAAAAGCACATTTATTACAGATTAGTATAAATACACAGATGATTATTGAAAATCTCGCGCGCTGATTGGTCGAGAAACTCATCACACGATAATCACCTCCAGCGATAATCCAAAATGGCGGCCAGCCGCTTTGTTGTTTTAAATGTGTTTTTTATTTTCTTTTTTTCCCTTTTTTTGAAAGAATCACCTGTGTATTTATGCTAAAACAATTACTCAACTTCGTTTCGGTTATTATTCCCCGATATTCACTTCGCCTTAGGCGAATAATTGTTAATCATACCGATTCACTAATGCAACTACTTGGAAGATGGAAGATAGCTAAGTATATTTACAAAAGAGTCCATGCGTCTCATATTTTTATGAGAATCTTGGGATCACCATTGGTTGAGGATATTAAGGAGTTATTCGCTAGAATCTCATGTCGGTGCTTTWCAAAGTATTCGACATTAAACTGCAAACAACCACGACTGGGTGGCGTTGTCACGGGGGGATAAGATGGTGGATTTGTCTATGTAGGAAACGGTATTCCCTAAGAAATTACTGCTAAGCAAGCATTAATCTAGATAAGAATGATTCACCCTGGTTTGTCTAACAGCGTACCGCAATGCTKAATGTACACTAGCAAAGCAAACATCTTTTAGCCTACTCAATGGATATGATACAGATAACTATATACAATATGGATTGGCCATGACACTAATGACGGCCGCRATGAAAACTACAAGAACCATAGCCTCCTACGAAGATGTTCACACAACRTTTCTCTTCCCAGGAAGAGAAACGTTGCGTGACGTCGTGACGCTAGCGTTGTCAGTGCGATAAAAAAATGCAGGGCGTATCATAAATCTCGCTTCCACTAGTCTTCTGCTAGCCCTCTTAGTGAAAGTTGGTCTTTCATCTCGGCTATTTCTGAAATTATAAAAGTAGGGTTAAAAGATACAGATTATTATATTATTAACGATACAATTTATTATATTCACTTGTGTAAAAATACTAATTTATTTTATTCCTTACCYTGCTGTAACGACTGGTTTTCTTGCATGAGTTCTTGATTTCGTGTAGACAAGAACACGGCATCTTGTATCGCTTCTTCAAGCAGCATACGATAGCGTTGTTCAATGGCAGCCTTCTGTTCTTCGAACACTTCCCGGTAATTACGGAAGGTCTGCATCAAAATAACAACAAGTTGAGTTGCTTTAGAAAGAAAATGAATGAGTCTTGAACGCCGTGGGGTTCTGGGAATCAAGGGTGGGGTAGTGCACTCGCCTCTCACCTCTGGGGTCTTAGGTACGATTCCTGTATTCGGGATCGCATGTGAGTTGAGTTTGTTAGGTCCTTCCCTTAATTTAAAGGGTTTTTTCCGGGTTCTCCGGTTTTCCTCCCTCTGAAAAACCTAATCAGTTAAATTCCGATTCCACTTATGAGTAATCCATGCCCTGACTTTGATCAGCCCATAGGTTGTTTCAGTATTCAATCTGTGACTCGGCCGTACCCTGACTTTGATCAGCTCAGAGGTTGTTTTAGGGTTCCATTTGTAAGCCACGCCCTGACTTAGTTCAGACCAGAGGTTGTTTCAGGGTTTGATCGGTGAGTAAGCCACGCCCTGGCTTTGATCAGCCCAGAGATTGTTTCAGGGTTCGATCTGTGAGTAAGCCATACCCTGACTTTGATCAGCCCAGAGATTGTTTCGGGGTTCGATTTATGAGTTACCCGTGTTTGACCTAGATCAGCACTGGTTGTTTCAGGCTTAGATTATTTTTCCTTTACCAAACCAATAATCAATCAAAAACGTTTACATCATCCAACCAAAATGGAAACTAGAGATCCCTATCATTTATTCTTATACTATCACTACAGAGCAGACGCTTGCCAAAATAGAGGTTGGACATATCGCAAGTGCTGTACAGACCTGGAAGTGTTGTAGTTGCTGGATTTCCATCTCATCTTTGTGTGTTTTATACGCGTCTTCTAAATCTGCCTTAAGTTTCTTCTTCTCGTTCTCTAACGTAGATATCTGTAGAACAGTACAACGCGTCACTAGACAATCACTTCAAAAAA